AGGAATTTTTCTTGCTCGACAATTAAGAGAAAAGAAGAGTTCGGCAAAATCCTGAAACCTTAGAACTCAAGAGACCGGCAGCCTTTGAAAAGAACGGGTTTCTTGGCGTAAAAAATGCCATAAACCTGTTTTAGCCGGTCAATTGAGGCTTTAAACAGCCTCACTAAACAGTAAACTTGGGGGAAACTTCGCAGCCTGTCTCGTAAACTTCGAAGACCTTACAGAATGCACCGTAAACTCCGAAAACCTCACAGAATGCCCCGTATACTTCGAAGACCTCACAGAATGCACCACAGACTTCGAAGACCTTACAGAATGCACCGTATACTTCGAAGACCTTACAGAATGCCCCGTATACTTCGAAGACCTTACAGAATGCACCGTAGACTTCGAAGACCTTACAGAATGCCCCGTATACTTCGAAGACCTCACAGAATGCCCCGTATACTTCGAAGACCTCACAGAATGCACCGTAAACTTCGAAGACCTTACAGAATGCACCGTAAACTCCGAAGACCTTACAGAATGCACCATAAACTCCGAAGACCTTACAAAATGGCCCGTATACTTCGAAGACCTTGCAGAATGCACCGCAGACTTCGAAGACCTTACAGAATGCACCGCAGACTTTGAAGACCTTACAGAATGCACCGTAAACTTCGAAGACCTCACAGAATGCACCGTATACATCGAAGACCTTACAGAATGCCCCGTATACTTTGAAGACCTTACAGAATGCACCGTATACATCGAAGACCTTACAGAATGCGCCGTATACTTCGAAGACCTTACAGAATGCCCCGTATACATCGAAGACCTTACAGAATGCCCCGTATACATCGAAGACCTTACAGAATGCCCCATAGACTTCGAAGACCTTACAGATTGCACCGTAAACTTCGAGGACCCTACAGAATGCACCGTCTACTTCGAAGACCTTACAGAATGCACCGCAGACTTCGAAGACCTTACAGAATGCACCGCAGACTTCGAAGACCTTACAGAATGCCCCGCAGACTTCGAAGACCTTACAGAATGCCCCGCAGACTTCGAAGACCTTGCAGAATGCACCGCAGACTTCGAAGACCTCACAGAATGCACCGTAAACTTGACTTCCACGCGTCACGTAAGATTAATCAGCCACACTCGTGATGAACACAGTGAAAGGTTCCACAGCTGGCTGTTGCTGAGTGCAAATGACGTACGTGTTAATGAAACTAGAATGAGAAGATGGTGGTGATTACGGCTAAGGGGGCTTCTTCCTCATTACTTCCCTTGACAGATGAAAGCCACACTCCATGATGAACCATTTTTTTACTTATTAAATACATATTTAGGTGTATTTTAATTCAATCTACTCACCTGTTTCCTAATGCAATCTACTCACCTGTTAATTAATCCAATCTACTCACCAGCTTCCTAATCCAGTCTACTCATCAGCATCCTAGTCCAATCTACACACCTGTTAACTAATCCAATCTACTCACCTGCTACCTAATATAACGTATTAAACTCTCACTATTTTTAAATGTAGTAAATCACTTGTGAATCTTAAAAAAAAAAGTTTGAACAATTATTTGTAAAAGATAGAGAATATAACTGAAATTAGGATTATTTATTTAACTAAATTGTAGCGTAAACCCATTTATAACTGCGTCGCATTTGTACGTTTTGAACATAGGCGTAACCCACTGCACGCAAGATGAATGTGAAATTGGCACTTATATATTTGTTAATGAGAATGAGCGCCTTTGGTTTTATATACGCATTAGTACGGTAAAAGTGCGCACACTATACGCCAGTCCCGGGCATAGACCTTACGCAGTTGAATTGATTCTTGCAGTGTTGCATGCAAGCGTATGATGCGTATGCCTCTCTTCCCCCCTCTCACTTGACCACAAAGCATTTACTATACCAAGAGCCGCTGTTAAGAGCTGTCTGGTTCTTAATTGAAATTGAAGGTGGTTCTTCAGGTAGTGTAATTCCCAGAGGTGTGATTATCAGTGCCCCGGGGTGCCAGGACCCAATTCAGGACTTGGGTGCCTACACTCGGCCCCCAGTATCAGATCTACACTCGGCCCTCAAGCACTAGACCCACACTCGACCCCCAAGCACCAGCCCCACACTCGGCCCTCAAGCACCAGCCCCACACTCGACCTCAAGCACCAGCCCGTACATTACCTGATTTAATTTACATAATCACAATCATTAAAGAAAATTACGTTGTCGGCGAGGACAATTAGGAGAGTGGATTGGGTAGTTCAACCATTAGTTTTGCACACACCTTTAAGCCACTCTGGCAGTTAATCACCCTAGACGGGACCATACTTTACTTTGGCTAAAAAAAATCTTATCCAACTGGCTTTCCTCTAAGCAATTAATCACTGTCGGTCACACGAAGAGCACAGGAAAGCGAAAAGGGTCAGGGAATGAAGAGAGAGAGAGAGAGAGAGAGAGAGAGAGAGAGAGAGAGAGAGAGAGAGAGAGAGAGAGAGAGAGAGAGAGAGAGAGAGAGAGAGAGAGAGAGAGAGAGAAAGGAGCAGGATAAAACAGTGCAAAGGAGGATGTTGCCTTTAGATAGAAGGAGGAAGACGGTGATATGGCGAAATAAAAAATAAAAACAGAGATTAGGGAGGAAACAAAGCAAGAGAGATAGAAGAGAAGAAGGAAGTGAGAGGGAGGAGAGGGCAGAAATACAGAGAGAGAGAGAGAGAAGGGTTTATGACCAAACGAGATTTGACCATTTTTTTCTTTCATTCCCCTCTTCTCCCCCCCCCCCCCCCCCCCTCCTCCTCTTACTCCTTTTCTCTCTCGCCTCTTTTCAGTGATATAAAATTATAAGTCTGTATTTGCTTTCACTCTCCCAGCACTCTCCCAGTCACTATTGCTTCTGAAAATCTTACATTTGTTGCTCCTTTTTGGGGAGATCTGTGGGAGCGCGCGCGCGCGTTCCACCGCTGCCTCAAGACGCCATCTCCTCATAGATCAAGTTTTGTGGCTAACTTCTCAAGTTGTGGCTGTCTTGGCCGACAACTTAGTGCATGAGTCGGTGGTGAAGCCTGTTTCTCTCTCTCTCCCTCTTTATCTCTCTCTCTCTCTCTCTCTCTCTCTCTCTCTCTCTCTCTCTCTCTCTCTCTCTCTCTCTCTCTCTCTATTCCTCTCCAGCAACTCTCACTCCTGTACTATCCCTACGGCTCCTGTCGCTTCAGTGGACACATCTCTCACTGTCAACTTACCGGAACTTGGCTTGACACCTGGTGCACGGAAGGAGGGGAACCCGCCATGAGAGGCCCGAGCCCCAAGGAAAGGACAGAGAAGAGATTAAAGATGGCGTGAGAGAGAGAGAGAGAGAGAGAGAGAGAGAGAGAGAGAGAGAGAGAGAGAGAGAGAGAGAGAGAGAGAGAGAGAGAGAGAGAGAGAGAGAGAGAGAGAAGGGAAAGAGACGCAAGAAAGATGGAAGAGATGAAAGCTGAGTAGTGAAGGAAGAGGGAGGGAGGGGGCGAGAGAGAAAAGGAGTGGGGGGGGGGAGGGGGGGGGGGAAGGGGGGAGGCTTGTGCCGGGACTTCGAGACAACAGGAGTTGAACCACGATCCAAGTTCCAGATACAGCACGTAATACAGTAAGATTTATACTACAACACCCCAAGGCTACACCGCCACCAGTCAGGGGGGGACGAGGGGCTACACCCCCCACACCATCACAAGAACGGGTTCCTACCCTCCAGGGTTATCTTGAGATGATTTCGGGGGCTTAGTGTCCCCGCGGCCCGGTCCTCGGCCAGGCCTCCACCCCCAGGAAGCAGCCCGTGACAGCTGACTAACACCCAGGTACCTATTTTACTGCTAGGTAACAGGATGAGGGATAGATTGAGAGAGATAGAGATTGAGAGAGGGGGGGGGGTGGAGGGAAGGGAAAGGGAAGGGGGACAGGTACGAAAGGAAAGGCAGAACACCAGTACCAGGCAAACGACCCTCTTGGCATTGGTCAGCCCTTAATCACCTTCCATAATTACCCTTCCAGTTCACCACCACTCATCCCTGTTCCGTCCCCTCCCTTTTTCCCCTCCCCCCAACACCCTCCCCCACCCCTTCCACAACAACAAAAACCTCAGATAATCACAAGAGAGAGAAAAAATAAATCCTCAACCATCAACAAATACATTATTGTATCCTTAAAACCAAACCGGCCGTGTGATTTATCCGGCTACTTCCCCCCCGGCCCCCCCCCCCCGTCTAAACCATCTTGAACTATGCCTGAGTTGAGTTTTCCAACCATCTGAACCTCGTTACGTGAGTAATTGTATTTTGACTTCAAATTGCGCTTATTTGTGTATTCAGGAATACACCGTGTATTTTTATGATGGCTATAGATGTAGTACAATGATTTCACACACACACACACACACACACACACACACACACACACACACACACACACACACACACACACACACACACACACACACACACACATCAGATTCTTCAGGAATCTGTACACCAGTTGATTGACAGTTGAGAGGCGGGACCAAAGAGCCAAAGCTCAACCCCCGCAAGCACAATTAGGTGACAATTAGGTGAGTACACACACACACACACATACACACACACACACACACACACACACACACACACACACACACACACACACACACACACACACACAGTCTATCAGTTAGCTTTCCGTATTAAATCTATTCCTACAAGAAAAACAAGCTATTCACACACACAATAACAGTGCAAGAACACATTACATTCTGACACAAAGTAAAAAAAAAAATAAAAATAAAAATAGAAAATTTCGTGAAACGCGAAACCAAATCCAAACCAAATCAAGTAAATAATAATAAAGCTTCATAAACTACAACAATAAAAACTCAATAAATAATAATAATAATGAAAATAATACTCAATAAAGCATGCTTTAAAAAGGAGGTACCAAGAGTGGGGGACTTTTGTTTTCAACAAACAATTAGCTTTTTTAACACAAGTGGAGAGACTGACCTTATCTCGGCTTTTACGCTTGTTTGAGGCTCTCTTCTTGGGAGACTTCCGGAGAGACGACTTGAAGGAGCCGCGGCGAGGTAGCTTAACGATCCAAGATGGCGGCACGATAATGCTTGTGTGGAGGCCTGGCCAGGGAGGAAAGTCAGCCCAATTAGCTAGTTTGGTGGGAATTACAGGTGGGGTTGGGGGTGAGGGGGGAGAGGGGGTGTTGGTGGGGGGTTCACATTGAGGGCCCAGAGCCCCCCCCCTCCATCACTCCCACCACCTTTGAGGTGCGTGAGAGAAGCCCTGAGATTACCACCTCTATAATTAACATATATTATTCACACGTCTCTGGTTCACTCGTTATCTTGCTGAGGATACCCGCCTCGCTACCACTACCACCACCACCACCACCACCACTCTTAGCACCAGCACCACCACCATATATATAACTAGTCCAACCTCTCCTCTCCTACGGGCTCACCATAGCCCGTGCTACTTGGAACTTTTTGTTGCAGGTAGCGAATCTTTAACAACAACAACAACTCTCCTCTCATAATGCACCACAATATTAACGACCATAACCACAACATCATAATTCCAGCCCTTCAGTAAAAAAAAAAAACACTCCACAACACCAACACTCCCCCGAGGCCAACACTCCCCCGAGGCCAACACTCCACAACACCAACACTCCCCCGAGGCCAACACTCCCCCGAGGCCAACACTCCACAACACCAACACTCCCCCGAGACCAACACTCCCCCGAGGCCAACACTCCCCCGAGGCCAACACTCCCCCGAGGCCAACACTCCCCCGAGGCCAACACTCCCCAACCGCATGTAGCGAGTAATCCTAACACTCGCTCCATTATCTCATTATCTTAATGGTGTAACTAATTAGCACTAACTACACAAGCTATAATCCTATCCCTAATTACAGGTAACAGTTCTCACATCCTCCTATCCTAGTAGAGAAAGGTGAGGGCGGTAGTTACCAAATATAAGGAGGCGATATGAGAATAAACGACTAGAGATAATATGAGAATAGCCCATCTTACGGGCTATTCATGCCCGTACCACCTCTTGGGTGGCTTAATCTTTATCAATCATCATCAATCGAATAAACGACAGTACAATTTCCAGTCAGGACTGTAGCACTCGGTGTAAGCAGTTCTAATTGTCTCCAAGATGCTACAGCTTTGACACAGAACAGGCAGCAGACTAGCACGAAGCAGTTACGCAAGCACTTACGAACCTGTACATCGTTTCTCAATCTTTGGCGCGGCTTTGTTTACCATTATTAAACAGTTAATGAGCTCCGAAGCACCAGGAGGCTGTTTATAACAATAACACAACCCGTTCTCGCAAATTCGTAAAGTCAATATTGACTTATTAACTACGTGCATAGGTGATATACTAAACATAATAGATACCCTTAAAAAGATTCATAGAAAACACCGACCTTACCTAACCTTGTAAGTATCTTAAGATAAGCATCTTATTGCTTCGTAATTACAGTTATTACTTAACCTATACCTATTATAGGTTAGGCAATAATTGTAATTACGAAGCAATAAGATGCTTATCTTAAGATACTAACAAGGTTAGGTAAGGTCGGTGTTTTCTATGAATCTTTTTAAGGGTATCTATTATGTTAAGTATGTCACCTATGCACATATTTAATAAGTCAATATTGACTTATTAAATTTGCGAGAACGGGTTGCAATAACAACAGTTGATTGGCAAGTTTTCATGCTTGTCAACTGTTTAATAAACGTAACCAAAGCCGTCAAAGATTGAGGAAAGATGTACACGTTCGTAAGTGCTTTCGTGAATCTGGCTCTAGGACCGCATTGAGCTACATCGCTCTCCCACAGAGAGCTCCGCGACTCCGGCCACACTCAGCTCTCTGCTCTGCTCTAAGCTCCGTCTCAATATCTATGACACTACTGTAATCAAGACTACTAAATAAATATGAAACTCACTTCAAACACTGTGTATCTAAACTACCCAACAACGTAACATAATCATTCGTTACACACAATAGGCCAGTTGGACTATTTGTTCAAACACTGTAATGTCAATCCTGACCTTAAAAGCTTCCTAGAAGGTTGTAACAGAACCCATGAGCACGAGAAACATTGGGCAGAGTTTCTTTCACCCTATGCCCCTGTTACCTAGCAGTAAATAGGTACCTGGGTGTTAGTCAGCTGTCACGGGCTGCTTCCTGGGGGTGGAGGCCTGGTCGAAGACCGGGCCGCGGGGACACTAAAGCCCCGAAATCATCTCAAGATAATCTCAAGATAAACCACACCAGAAATAAATACAGTTTTGATATTCCAAGAGTACGACTTAATCAAACTAGAAATGCTCTACAAATCAAGGGGCCCAGAATGTGGAATGACCTTCCCAATCACGTTAAAGACTGTACCTCTCTCTCAACCAGTTTAAGAGAAAAACTAAGTACTACCTAATTAACTCCCTGTAACCTACCTCACCCCTAAATGTCAACCCATGTCTGCTATTTTAAACAATGCTCTTTGTTGACCAAATTGTATATTTGCTAGTTTTTCTGTCATGTTTCCCCCCTTTTTTTATTTTTATATTTTCTCAACACAATTTATACTTTAATCTCAATTAGTATTAAGTTTTTGTCTTCAGTGCTTTTCCTGCCCGAAACGCTTTAGGCTTTATAGTGGCTTTATAGTGGCTAAATAGTGGCTTTAGGCATTGTATGTACTAGCTCTATCTATAAATACATCAATATTTGTATCACACCTTGCATGTATGTACTTTACCTGAATAAACATTTGAATTTTGATTTGAATTTTAACAGCTTAAAAAAAATTAATTTGAATTTGAATTTGATTTGAACAGCTTAAAAAAAACATTAAAATAGACATAACATTTTTGTAAATTACCTTTGCATTGTATATAGCTTAATAAGCCCAACCATGTCTTTAACTTGTCATATGTAGGCCTATTATTTTAATCCTAGTTTAACGGAACGAGGCCTAACTCCGTTGGCAGTTTTTCTAGACAGATCGGTGATATATATACATTTTGAACAGTTATTTCGATATCCGGCCAATGTTATGAATTGCTATGCTCCGCGTCGTGAGGCGTGAGGGAGCCTGAGGTGTGAGGGAGCCTGAGGAGTGAGGGACACCACTAATGAGGTGCAGGTGAGGAAAAAACTCCTTCGTAGCCTCAGACGTCACAAGCGAGAAACTAAAACCTTCGCGGCCTGTGACGTCACAAGCGAGAAACTAAAACCTTCCCGGCCTGTCGCGTCACAGGCGGGAAATTCAAACCTTCGCGCCCTCTGACGTCACAGGCGGGAAATTCAAACCTTCGCGCCCTCTGACGTCACAGGCGGGAAATTCAAACCTTCGCGCCCTCTGACGTCACAGGCGGGAAATTCAAACCTTCGCGCCCTCTGACGTAACAGGCGGGAAATTCAAACCGTCATTCCCTATATATATCCCTACGACTTCTCATTATTTCGCACCGCGGAGGCGCCAAATCGTAAGAATATACAGTTGCATACGAGCGCCTGACAAAGAAGTGAACGATACATAATGACATCCAATGTTTAACTATCTTACTATACATATCTACATGTAATTTCTCTCCCTCTCTCTCTCTCACACACACACTACATAGCGGTCCTATGTAGCAGGATGTGTACACCATGGAGGGTGTAGAGCACACGTGGTACATGTAGCGGACTCATATGTAGCGGTTCTATGTAACAGGGTCTGGTGCCCCTCGGCCGTGGTCACCATGGCAACTATCTTGGTTGCTATGGAAACCTTTCATCAAGTTATTGTTTAGCGTCGCCCTAAGATGGACACGAAGGCGGGAGATGGAATGAAGCAGGGAAAGAAGGCAATGAAGGCAGACTTCATTCCAGAAATCTCAAGAGACTAAGTGTTTTCAACCTAATACATCGCAATTTTTGACGGAGTCGACCAATCCGTTCAAATTACGACGTATTAGATAACATTAAAGCACCGAAATATTGACGCTTTGCAGCGGCCTCGATAGGTTAGGTGGGTTGCTTGGGTTAGTACGTCATAGGCTAGACAAAACAGTTGGTTTTTTTACGGAGTGGTAAATCATGAGAAGCGCAGTATATAACAGGTCCTTACACCTTATACACAGGGATAGTTACTATACACAGGGATAGTCACTATACACAGGGATAGTCACTATACACAGGGATAGTCACTATAGACAGGGATAGTTACTATACACAGGGATAGTCACTATACACAGGGATAGTTACTATACACAGGGATAGTTACTATACACAGGGATAGTCACTATACACAGGGATAGTCACTATACACAGGGATAGTCACTATACACAGGGATAGTCACTATACACAGGGATAGTTACTATACACAGGGATAGTCACTATACACAGGGATAGTCACTATACACAGGGATAGTCACTATACACAGGGATAGTTACTATACACAGGGATAGTCACTATACACAGGGATAGTTACTATACACAGGGATAGTCACTATACACAGGGATAGTCACTATACACAGGGATAGTCACTATACACAGGGATAGTTACTATACACAGGGATAGTCACTATACACAGGGATAGTCACTATACACAGGGATAGTCACTATACACAGGGATAGTCACTATACACAGGGATAGTTACTATACACAGGGATAGTTACTATACACAGGGATAGTCACTATACACAGGGATAGTCACTATACACAGGGATAGTCACTATACACAGGGATAGTCACTATACACAGGGATAGTCACTATACACAGGGATAGTTACTATACACAGGGATAGTCACTATACACAGGGATAGTCACTATACACAGGGATAGTCACTATACACAGGGATAGTCACTATACACAGGGATAGTTACTATACACAGGGATAGTCACTATACACAGGGATAGTCACTATACACAGGGATAGTCACTATACACAGGGATAGTTACTATACACAGGGATAGTCACTATACACAGGGATAGTCACTATACACAGGGATAGTTACTATACACAGGGATAGTTACTATACACAGGGATAGTCACTATACACAGGGATAGTCACTATACACAGGGATAGTCACTATACACAGGGATA